AGATCAATAACATGCCGGAACCCAATAGCAGATTTGATCTTCTTTTCCGCTTCGATTCTTCGACAACTTCGAACCTCCTTCTACAGAATGCAAAGGTAAAATGATTATAGAGGGTTTGTTAGAGACTTGTAACAATTGCTATTCCAAACACTTTGCTGATAAAATTACTATAAATAGGAATAGACCAAAAGGAATAAAAAAGAAAAATAAAAACAAAAGGAAAAGAAAAAGGAAACATGTTAAAAATTATGACAAAGTACGGAGAAGGAAGAACGATAGATGCCTCTATTTTAGGGCTTTCACATAGACTCACCATTAGTACATCCCTGTCTGTTGTAGAATCAGTGTAGACTACCAGTGGTTGTGAACCAGAAATTTCACCAGCCACATGAACATAAGTGAGATCACTGAAATGCTTCTCCGTGACCTAAGTGCGACATTACATTAGCATATATACAAAATACACCACTGATTACATCAAATACTAAAACTATAAGAAACATGAAAATAAGTGAAGACGCCACAGAAATGGTTAGTGAGATTGCTATAATCTATTGAATGAGGATAGATCGGAATATAGATGCAATTCCAAACAAAGGGCAACAAGAGAAAGGCCGAAAGGACTGCAGTGCCTGGATTTTATGGAATCAAACAACTTCAAAAATGGTATAAAATGTTATTTCCAATTAAGGAACACTTCTCACCACATGGCTGTATGCCCATGTAACAAAGTTAAACCATATTATTGACAAAGTTCTCTATGCAAATGTAGAGAAGAAGTATCCTCAAAAGTGTGAATTGTATAGTAAGATAGAAAGTATCTATGGTGGCAAGCCAGTACTAGCACAAAAGTAAACATTGGCTTAAAGTCATAAACACACACACACACACACACATACTTATAAGTTATAAGAAAGATGTTTATGAGTTTATCAACATGTAAGATGATAAATGGTTTGTCCATTGCAAATGGAGCTGGAAGAGTCATTGACAATTCTCCTGGCTTGGCTAGTGCTAATAATGGACTAGATCAAAATGGCTCAATTAAATTCTAGTGCTTGTTCTATTAGTGAAGTTTCTAGAAAAAAAAAATATATCAGACGACGCAATGCACCTTGGGTCGCTACGGAAACAGTGTCCTTGTATAATTACAAGGGTAAGGTCTGCGTACAACTGACCCCCAGACCCCAACCAGTTGGGAATATACTGGATATGTTGTTGTTGTAAGATGATAAGTTACCTACCATTTTATAGGATAGCGCACAGACCCAGCCAAATATACATATGGGGTGGACAGTCTTAATCTAGTTTTGGACGACCAGAAGACAGTAAATGAAAAACAAACAATGAGTAGCAGAAAATGCATTACCATCTTAATCAATCTCAGTTGGCGATATGTCATGCCATTCACTACGAGAGCAGGGCGCATCTTAAAGAAAGTAATCATCGGGTTATTGTTTGGGTCTGTTCAGCAGAACATCTGGCACTCTGCAGATGAAGTAAATAAATCAGTTTTCCACAAGTATCTGCCAAAATTAGGAGATCAAACAGAAGATATAGTTCTCTAGTAAGTTCAAGACATCAGATTCGTGAGTCAAAACATGTCTTCAACTAGTTTGCATTCTATTCAAAGGACTTAAAATGCTACTCATTCTAATGTGATGTTGACACTTGTTAAGTTAACAAGTGATTCATCACCAAAGATATGATTTAATGCTCATTACTAGACAGTTAAAAGTGCATCTCGACAAAAATAATTACCATGGCACCAGAACAAATGACAGATGCACGCTTCACTTGAGGCTTCAGGCGAACTGGACCAGACAGAACATTCCTTTTGGGCTTCAAACAATGATCTCTTATTCCAGCTGTAAATAAAAAAGATCAAACTTAGAATTTAAAATCTTGCAGTCGAAATTGTGTTTATGTCCAAGGGATAGATAATCATTGTTGAAGAAAAAAATTGTATTTCACCCTGACCATCGTGGTAAGTTCTTGTGTAATCATAAAATACGGTTCACCAGTCATGAAAGAATATGAAAGCAGAAGTTCAATAATCGGCAAAAAAAATGTTAATAGATGAGAATACATCAAAAAATATTACTAAACCAACAGACTGAAAATTAAAAAATAGAATGATAAGTCATGTCTCATTACTAAATTCGAAAGACAACAAAGACCATGTCTACATAGCAAATAACTATTATTCAATTAGCAGGTTTAGAAACTTTTAACTCAACCCTTGGATCTCCTAAAACAACATTTCAGACACACAAATCTCACACACCGAAAAATAAACTCATGATAAATAAAATTGCAATGTATTCAGCCAATCTAAATTAATAGAAGATGGAAATACACACACCTGTAGGTTGTAGTGCAATAGAACTGGCCATCATCACACTTAGAGACATCTCAACGCCAATATAATATATCACCTAAAAGGGAAAAAAAGAAATAAAAAAAAAAGAAATATAAAAGCGATCATGAGAAAGTGTATTGCACTACAAACAACATGAAAAGCTTTATTTCAAAGAATGTCCAAACCAACATTGAGCTCACCAAATCAAATGGGTTTTCGAAAAATAAATTCACACAGATTCCTAAGCATTAAAAGTTACAAACTCTAAAATATATTGAACAAATAATCAATTCAATTTCTTAAAGCACAAATGAACATAAATACAAATGTATGTATATGAACGGTATTCTAACAATTCGAAGCCACGGTACTATTTTGATAACACAATCTAGTTTCTTGAAAGAGAAAATATAAATAAATGATTATTAGATATCAGCAACCCTCTTAGATAATACCAACAAAATTCTTGACTCAATACTAAATTAATCCGACCAAAATAAAGTGGTGAATCGGAATCAAATACAGGCCATGGACGTTTGCCCTAATCCGAATTTCATAAAAGACAAACATAATTGGGACTGGGAGGTGAAAGAAAGATAAGTTAAGATAAGCTAAAACCAGTGTTTTAAAATGCGCATCGCGTATCGCGTCGCGTTTTGGTCTTTATATTGCGTAGCGTAAATAGTGTAGCGCATTGCGTAAGCTATTCGAGCAGTTCACTTATAATGTCAAACATAATAGTATATATAACCATACAAGTAAATAAATAATTGAAATGGTCTTAAATCATAAACATGGACATTAAATCTAAACAATAACATTCAAACATTAGTTCATAAAAACAACCCAAACTCCTAACCTTTAAGGTAAAAAGTCAAAATTTAAAAATACTTGGTCTCATCCAATTGAATTTGACTACCATCATCAATACTATCAAAGTTTGGGAGGTTTCCACTATCAAAGTTTGAGAGGTTTCCATTAAAAACAGAGGTTGCATCTTTCTTGAAACAAAATTGACCTGGATTGATGAGTATTTTATATTTGGGGGCATGTGACAAGCTTTGAATAAATAAACATATAATATATTATTTCATAATTCATATTACTGTAATAGATATCCATATTGCACCAAATATTTGCAACTTGCTGCTTCAACCTCTTTCTGTAGTTGTAAATTCATGTTTCTATTTCTAACCTTTATATATATTGTTATGAAATGGTAACATCAGATCAGGCTCATTTGAATCATTCAATAATAACTACACACAAGACAGTGATGCACGGCCCAACAGACAATACACAAATGAAATTTACAGAGATGAATTGTCTGTTTTGAGGAAATTGAATTGTATTAATTTTTATCTAGTCATATTCCATTATTCTTACACCAAAACAAAGCAATTTACTGGAATTCAAGCCCTAAGACTTAATGGCCCTGCCAAAAGAGTTGCAGCCTAGCCATAACATCAGGCTATACGGAAACACGACAAATCTGGTTTTAAAATCCCATACAAAGCAACAACACAAAGAACATCAGAGTCCTCAATACAAAGCAACATCAGAGTCCTCAACACAAAGCAACATAGAGCAACACAAAGAGTAGCAGCCCCATCAGAGTCCCCAATACAAAGCAACAACACTCCCCATCAAGAAAGGAACTTTTAAAATCCCATAGTCCTCAAAACAACAAGCTCAAGCAATCATCTATATCTAACTCTATTAATTTAATATATAATCAGTCCAATTAAACAAAAAATCAAAATAATCAAGTAAATGAAGAAGATGCCCAATTTCAATTTCATAATCTCCAAATAAAAACAAAATCTTACCTTTGGAGAAGACCGAAAAGCAGGAGATGTCGGGTGTAGAGAGCTGAGGAGCAGACACTTTGGTGGTGCCGAGAGCCGGGCGAGAGGCGAGAGACGAGAGCCGAGGAATCGGAGGATGTTCTGAGAATTAGCTTGTGAGGAGGTTGAGGTGGAGTCGTGCGCCGGGTTGTGGTGGGCCGTGGAGGTATCTATGGAGGCTGCGGTGGAGAGGCTCTAGGCTGAGAGAGAGATGACGAAGAGAAATAGAGAAGTGAAATGAGGGTTTGTGCTCGTTGGTCGCTGCCCACGATTTTACTTTTCTTTTTCCTTTTTTTTTTTTTAATTTTCTGCTTATAAAAATTAATGTGCTGAATAGCGTCCGCCATTTAAGCTATTGCGTAAATAGCGTGCATTTTCTCCGAAACTAGTACGTACCTCGTGCAATGCACGAGACATAGATATTAAATGAATTATTTTCAGACGACTCTATTCATTTAAGTCTACAAATTAATAAGGTTATCATATATTTTTCACTTGTATATTAGGGCTAACTTGTAAAATAATTAATATATTATCTATACATATTTAATTCATTTTTTTATCGATTATACATATTTATTTTGAAATAAAAAAAAATGTTTGACCAGTTGAGTATTAAATCAACACTAATTAATTTATTAAGCAAGTAAAGACGCAAAGCAAGACAATTTAATTATCCAGCAATTTAGGGTAATATATAGTTATTTCTTTTATTAAACATGATTTTTAAAAATAAAACAACATCAGCCTCAAATAATAGACAACATTCATGGTTTT